CAAATAATCTTACACATTCTGAAAACAAGATTATTATTCTTACACAATCAGTTCTTGTTTAGTAAATCAGTCACAAAACAAGATCAAAAAGACTTTTTGGCTGATATAAGATTTTAAAACTTGGTAAGATGGACAGTTTTTGCAGTGTACTCATTAACTGAGTGTGTGTGCCTGTCTGTAAGTGTGTGTTTGTCTGTTTAGTGTGAGTGGAAAAGTAACCTGTAGTGTTTATTTTCATTTTTTTTTTGTTATTGTATTGTATATCTATTTATCCTGTTAAGGGACTGTAGATACAAATGATCTTGTACTATAATCTGGTWGTGCATCAAAGTGGGACATTTGTTTGAGCTGTACGCTGTCCCTTTTTAAATAACGTTTAAAATTAAGAACTGTGGAACACAGAAATGTTGAAACCTGATCAAGTTTTTAAAAAACACATTATATTCAAATATTATTTATCTGACGAAGAGCTGATTAATTTGTAGACGTGTGTGTAGATATGTGTAGACCTGTTGTGTGTTTGTGTGTAAATGTGTGTAGACCTGTTGTGTGTTATTGTTGGATTGAAAAGGGCTCAAATTTTGTGTTAAAGTGTGTGACATCTGTTAGAAAATGCCTATTTATCAATGAGTTTTGGTAATAATAACTAATACTGGATAAACGTGATGAAACRATATTTGTATTTATTTGATTCAAAGTGACCTTATTGATCCCAAAGGARAATTAAATGTTGTTGTAACTCATATTATCCAGGTTTCTTTAGGCTGATGTCTGTGGGCAGCAAGGAAGAAACATTTACTGTATATAAACTCAGCACCCAGCAAAAGTAATTAAATTGGTGTTTGGTAGATTACTTATTTGTTGTAACAATTTTGCTTCTTGGCAATAAATCTTATACTGTTGGAAAGTCTGTTAATGTCTCTTTTACATGGAGCCACATTTGTAAGGAACATGCATTTGTGGGATGAGAAGTAGAGCTGAGTCTGTGGGTTGTTCACATGAAAAATTAACCAASTCTTATCTGTCAAACATCTTATTTTAATGTTATTAACTTTTGTTTTGAGCTTCAGGTACTGCCAATCAGCTGCTGCTATAAGATTTATTGTTACAACAAAGAATAGAATAGAAACAGCCTTTATTGTCCCACGGTAGGGAAATTCAGGTGTAACAGCAGCAGCATCAGTTCACAAAAAACGCACAGTAAATAAATAATTAAATAAATAAATAAATAAATAAACATTATATTGCATATATAACGGTAGTAGTTGTGGTAATAGAATAGAAATAACAATAAAAATAAACAAAATATTGTACACGGAGGTGTGCAATCTATCAAACGCTAATTTGCGGACTTTTTCTGCTAAAAATACAGGTTTATTGTATTTATTTTATATTGTTCTTGCTCCATTTCAAACACAACATTGAGTTGTTTTAGACTAAATAGTGTTTTCTAATTTAGTTTTAGTATTTATGGAATTTGTTCCTAYCGTGTTCAAACTATTTAAAAAGAATAATAAAATTAAACTAAGCTAAATAAGTACGTTCTAAATCAGGACTTAAGTTGATTTATTCAGCTGCTCTGGCTTCCTTCAAAATGTCTTCAAAAATTTTCCAGTTTATTGTTCATTTTTATTTGAATACATTTCACATAAAAGCCTGTCTCAGACCTAATGTAGTTTATGGGTCATATACAGGATCTGGCCTGTGTCCATCTGTSAATTTTGTAATTCTGAGATTTTAACCAGAAGGCGGAAAAAATATCGTTCAAACAATCCTCTAATATAACAAYATTACGTGTCTGCCACGAGCAATAAAAACACCGATCATACGTGAACTGTTGCCACCGGACTGCCTGCCCCTGGTGTAAATATATCAGGACCAMAGAGCAGCTGAAGCTCCGGGCAGACCCCCACGGTCCTCAGGTCAAACAGGAACAGAGAAGGACCCGTTAAAGCCATGCAGCCTGAGCTCGCTTCACAACATGCGGGTACTTACCGATGGAAGGGGAACTCTGGGTAATACTGCACAGCTGTGTAAGGTGAATTCATGTTGTCATGCCACAATTCACTTTAAAACAACCGGCTTGTCATTAAGGCACATACACCAGTCACTGCTTGAGCTACAAGATTAAATACATTCATTAAGGAAAATAAATTTTAAAAATATAAAAAAAAAATGAACAAATAATTTTAGATTAAAGTGCCTGAGGGGGGGTTACAGTGCAGAGTGAAGGAGGTTTGTGAGATGTTTTCAATGTAGGTATTTTTTCTTCGGCTGCCCTACAAATAGGAGGGGCCTGGACGCGCTCCCGGACCAATCCCTAGCTACGGTGGTACAAGATATCACTCACTCACTGTTGCCAGGATATAGATATCAAGCAACTACATTTGACCCCTGCGGCCCCTCCAACGCTCACACACACACACACACACACACACACACACACACACACACACACACACACATGCATGCATGAACATAGATTCACCTCTCAGCACATATTTATGAAGTGACACGATGTGGCTGAATTTGGCCCCAGGGCCTTCCCTTGCCCCCCCC